GGAGGGGGTGGACGCGCTCCTAGCTGGGCACGAGGACGCCAACGGCTGCATCAACTACGAAGGTGGGAGCCCAGGGTCAGCCCCGACTCGGGGCCCTCTGGCTGCAGGCTCTGAGCCAGAGGGCTGGGGGGGGCCCAGTGGCCCCTTTCTGTGACTAATGCTTCTCTCCTCCCCTCACAGCCTTCGTCAAACACATCCTGTCTGGCTGAGCAGGCAACATGGGGTAGGTGCCCCCTTTTATTCGTCAGACTCCTTTTTGGGGGTGGCTATTCCTTTCTCTGCCCTGAGACCCCCTCCCCCTCGACCCTGCCTCTTTGCCAGGCCCCGGGCAGGTCCTCGCTCACCTGTGTGTGCGTAAAACCCCTCTGCTCTGGCAGAGATGTGTTTTCCCGGCTGATCCCCTCCCCCGGAATACCTCCCAGTTCAGCGTCCTTCGTCCCATTCTAGTGGGGGAAACTGAGGCAGAGGGATTTGCTCAAGGTGAGCAGCAGGTCAGTGGCTGAGCCAGGCGCAGAAGCCAGGTCTCCCGCATGCTGGTCCGCGTGCTAACCACTAGGTCATGCTGCCTGAGAAACAGGCCCGGGTAGGATGCCCGCAGACAGGGCCAGCGTGAGTCTGGCTCAAGCCTGGTGAACTAGCTCTGGTACCAGCTGTGGCCCGAGACCATCAGACCGGCCCAGCTCCACTCTGCAGCACCGTGTCCCTAACGGGGCCCTGCAGGGTGCAATCAAACCTCTGAGGGGCCCGGGGAGCTGCCTCCAGAGCCCCAGGGGGGCCCAGGGTGGAAGAGCCCCATGCAAAGGGGGTAGCGAGGCTTTGCTTTTATCACTCAGGATAGGGCATCAGGGTGCCTGGCCCCTACACCCAGCTCTGACGTGGCCTCAGGCAAGCCCCTTCCCGTGCCTCAGTTTCCCCACCCCTCAGCACACGTCCCTTGCGGGGCTCCCGAAAGCTCCAACTCACCAACACCGCCCCGGCTCCCAGCGCCTCTGCTAGGCCAGCATCCTGCGGGCACAGCGGGTGCCCTGCGCACACTGGGGCACCTGAGACCAACCCACTGGCCCCGCTGTGCCGGGGGAGAGATTCCCTCCAGCCTGTGCCCCGGGGCACGGAGCTTGAGATCAAAGCGAAGCTCTGGGGCGGCTCCTCCTCCTGCCCCTGCCCCAAATGGGGCCCCAGCTCCCCAGATGGGCCACACGGGGCCTCTCACTGTCTCCTCTTCTCTCCCCAGGCCGGGCAGGATGGGGCTAAGCACCTGACATCTCCGGTGAAGACTCCTAGGCCCATCAGTCTGTGGGGTTTCTCTCTAACCCCTCTCCCCCACCAATGGCCGCTGCAAAGGACTTGTAAACGCCTGACCGGAGTCTCCAAGGCCTCAGGACACCAGTGGCTGAGGATCCAGCAAGGGGGGTGTCGCAGGGTCCCCCCCGAGAACAACGACCCAGCCCGGGGGAGCCCACTAAGCAGATCTGCGGCCCCGCTCCAGATCCCCAGGCAGGAACGGACCCAATCCCCCTTGTGCCCGTCCTGCGTCTGGACAATAAAAGCCGTTTGTTTCCAGAAGCCTCTGGCCTCTAGGGTTCGTGTGGGGCCTCCTGCTAGTGGGGGAAAATCCCCCCCCCCCCAGCTGGGTCGTTACCCAGTTATAGCCGGACACCGGCGCCCTAAGTATTCCAGGGGAGCCGTGGTGCAGACACCCTGGTGCTGGCAGAATTCCCTGGGGAGGTGAGCTCTGGAGTCCAGGGCCAGGGAATGGCAGCAGGGTCCTGGAGAAGTTCGGGGAAACACACCCACTGGTTCCTATTTGTATGGGGGTGAAAGGCTGGGATTGGAAGCACAGGGATCTGCCCCAGCAGCCCCCAGGCCTGCCCTGTGGCCCACAGCGCCCCCTGCTGGGAGCAGGAATTCCTCCTCCTGCTGGTTTCTTTCCCGGCACTCACAAACTCCGCTCTTGTCCTTTTGTTTTTCCATTTGCTGCGTCCTCGGGTTGCCAGCGAGACCCAAAAAGCGCCATCGGCAGTGGAGGGGGCACCCCCTCCCCCCCCCCCCTGCCGCTTGCCGAAACCAGCAGCCACTAGTAGGGTTGCCAGGTGGCCGGTTTTCACCCGGACAGTCCGGTAATTGCATCTTCTGTCCGGATTAAAAAAAAAACCAGAAATGTAAAATGTCCAGTATTTTCTGTTTTTCTGGGACGGAAAGCCAGTGAGGACATTTTGCCCCTGCTGCATCTGGCAGGGGTGCAGAGAGTGGGGAACGCAGGAATTTAAAGGCATAGCAACTCTTTTTTTTTTTCCCCCCCTCACCCAATTTTTTTCCCCCACCATGTTAGGGATTTTTTGTGAAGATATCTGGCAACACTAGCCACTAGCTGTGTTATGGCCCATTTGGGACCTGGGAAAAGCCAGCACCTTCCCTGCCTTCCAGCGGGAGGCACCTGGCTCCAGGCGGTTTGGAATTCCTCTGCCCTCTCCTTGGAAAAGACTCGGCACGTCAGCGCCACCGAGACGGAGACACAGGCTGAGGCCTGTCCCTAGCCGAGCCCTGTCGGGGCATTCGCGGACCGGCATGGGGGTCCCACTGGCCTGGCTGCCCTGGAGGCCGAGAACTGCAGCTGCAGCACAGGGCACCGGGGGAGTGGGTGACACTTGGACTGAGGGGTCCGTAGCCCAAAAGGGGCATGAAATAAAGGTGACCCGAGCTGACCCAGTCCTAGTGCAGGGCTTGGTTAATTCTCAGGCAGGTCAGAGCGATCAATGAAAGTGAGAGAAATCTGACGCATTAAGGACAAATTGTTGGGGTGGGGGCAGGAGGCTTGTGGGGTTCAGGGGGGGTGTCTTTCCCATGGGTCTGGAAGATGATTTGCACGAGTGAGCACTTGCTAGGTGTTTGGGGCAGCTAAACCTAGCAGGGTCAGCGCCGGGCGACTGCCAGAGAACAGGGGCCTGCTCATTAAACCCCCCGACTTGAATTCCGCCCCATTTGGGTTAGGCTGTTGGCAGCCATGTCAGCTGAATGGACCCAGCTGGCCGCTGCCGGGTTCTCACTCCCCAGCACCGTTGCCCTGCTCAGCCGGCAGGTGGGTTGGGATGGGAGAGACAGGCTGGCCCAGGCGCCCCGTTATGGATGATGCTTTGGTGGTGTGGGGGCTGCAGGCTCTTCCCCGAGGCTGCCCGCTGGTGCGGGGTGATCACACCTGTGTGGGGCGGGGGTGTCACCTGCTGAGAGGCAAGCGCCCGCACAGAGAACGGGTCCCATGGAAATGCCCATGTACATGCTGCCCCTGGTCCCTGAAGAGCTGTTCTGTTAAATTCGGCTCTGGTGAGGCCACATCTGGAATATTGTGTCCAGTTCTGCCCCCCTCCCCCACTCTAGACAGGATGTGGACGCATTGGAGAGGGCTCAGCGGAGGGCGACCAAAATGGTTGGAGCACATGACCTATGAGGAGAGGCTGAGGGACTTGGGTCTGTTTAGTCTGCAGAAGAGAAGAGCGAGGGGGGATTTGAGAGCAGCCTGCAACTCCCTGAAGGGAGGGTCCAAAGAGGATGGCGAGAGGCTGTTCTCAGTCCTGATGGAGGGAGCAATGGTCTCAGGTTACAGTGGAGGAGGGCAAGGTTAGATATTAGGAAATACTATTTCCCTAGGCGGGTGGGGAAGCGCTGGGCTGGGTTCCCTAGGGAGGGGTGGAATCTCCAGCCCTAGAGGTCTCCACCTGACAAAGCCCTGGCCGGGTTGATTGAGTTGGGATTGGTCCTGCCTAGAGCAGGGGGCTGGATTTGATGACACCCTGAGGTCTCTTCCAGCTCTAGGATTCTATGAAATGACACACACCCTCCCCCCTGTTCCCCCAGCCCCTGCTGGG